AAAAAACCCACCCTGTCAAGCTTGCATGAAATTCTTCAAATAAAAAATGCAATATATATATACATTGTATATGGTAGTAGTCCTAAAAATTACAATGTAGGACTTGTATACAGAGTAATAATTTAAAATTTGCATGTTTAAATATAAAAATATAACTTAAAATGGAAAATTCTGTATCATGAGTTTTGACTGACATAAAACTTATTACTTAGCATTAAAAGTAAAAATAAATATTAATAAAAATTATTTTTAATTAATAAAATTTATTATTTGAAGCAAAAATATTAATGAACAGAAAATGAAATGAAATCTCTCATAGGATCAGCAACCACCATTTTACTACATCACGTCATGACCCAAATTCTTACAGCACATGGCAACTTCAGAGCCTACCTCTACAGGTTCTTGAGGAAGGGGAATGGTTTGTGCCTCTGTGATACTAATGAGAACGAAGATCCAATATACCTAATCTTCATCTGCCTGGTTCACTCACGCCACCATGCAAATCTTCGTAGGACTATTGTGGAACGTGGGTATCCCTGGCCGTGCGAACTATACACCCTTATTGAGGACCAGATAATCTATCAAGAATTCAAGACCTTCGTGGAACACCTGAAACTTACGCACTATACCACTACCAACCCAAGTGGCATCTAATGAACAGCTCATCTTCTGAGTCAACAAGGACCCCTCCCAAAAAGAAACTCCTTTCTGCTTTTTTTTTTTTTTTTTTTTCCAAGTCAACCTCATCTGACCAACTCCTCAAGGTATTACGCTATGAGCCTTCTCCTTCCCTGTATATACAAATTGTTTTGCACGTGTATACCATCGTATTTCCACGTGCTATCCAACAGCTCCCCTTTACGGCTCATGTCCTCCTTTTTCCACTTTCAAATCTCCAACCATCTCACCCTCCTAACTTTTCTTCAAATCACTCTCCTTCCTTCCTTCATCCATCTTTCTTATCTTTTAAGGCTACACCTTTGAGTACAGCCTTTTCTTTCACATGTATGTATGTTTTATGCTCTTTTGAAAAATTATAAGATTTATTGTTAAGATTGTAATCAGTTCTGTAAAATACTTGCAATTCTATATGTATGTTACAGAAGTGCGATAACATCATCAATAAAATTGCTTGAATTTGTTCCATAGTAAAAAAAACATTGAGCAAGAACATGAGTTTAAAAGATTCTTTCAAATCTACAGAATATAGTTTTGTTATTTTTCTTATTAAAATAATTTATATTTCTAAAAATGAACTCAAAAACACTAGGTTTATGAGTTTTACAGATAATTAATACAGTATTTCATAAAGTAAAACAGTTTGTTATATGACAAACTATATTTATCATAAGCAAGCAAACAATTTATTTTTTATTGCATTAATAATACGAATTTGTTACTTATATTCAATGTATATGATAATTTAAAATATTAATATCTTTATTTGTTGTCTACTGCAAATTCAAAAACGCAGTTTGTATAAAATTCCTAATCTTCTTCGTGGTGCCATATCAGAGCCCTGACGTCGGCGACACCTGCGTAGGTTAATAAGTAGTTAGTAACGTGCCAAGGTGTATACTAGGGAAAGTTATTACCCAGAGTGGTTTCCCGTTGCCTTCTCTGGGGCGTGATGTTACGCGAGGGGAACTAATGCCTTCCGGGAGGACTTTTATGGGGAACTGGCCTCCTATTTAGTCGTTATTGGCAAGGAGAAAACCCGGAAAACTCCAAGCAGCCAGCCTGTCCGATCGCGGCGCGAACCCATGACCGAACTCTCAGTGTTTAGGGTACGAAGACCACTCGGCCACTGGTGGGCTTCCTAATAAAATTCCTAATAGGGGGTTACTATACATACTTATTCATTGTGTATTGCTTACAAACATATCTCTTAATGACTGCAATGTGGAGTAATCCAATTAGTTCACAATTATTATACATTCTAAACTTCAAGTGTGTATAATATCATGATGAAATTATGACTTGGTAGATAAATAGATGTTTTTCAGTGTTTTGTTGTCTCTTGAGAAAAATTTATACTGTTATTACCAATTTTCCAGACTATTTTTAAATAAAACTTCAGATAATAGATTAGTAAATATTTATTAATAACAAGAAATTATTTTGTCATCATTTCTTATGGTACTAATTTTAGTAAATAGATAAATTCATTTTATCATTTAAAAGTCCAAAGAACCATCCTCTCAAATAATTAATGAATCTAAAATTTTTATTTTATATATTGTCAAGCATGTCTAATTATTAGATATATACAAGCATATTGTCAATTATGCTATCTAAACCTTCTAAGATTAATTTCTTCCAAATATACAGGACTGTTGAGAGCTTGTATGGGACTGGGAAAAAGAGCAAATCTCTTTTGTCAGTTTTTTTGGAACAAATAAAATATATATAATGTTTCTTTATTAATAAAAAGTTATGTTAAAAATTTTATGTTTTAAAAATTAAAATAACCCTAATTTATAGGGGAAGGAAACACTACAGGCCTTGATATTTCTCTGGGCTTAGGGAAAAATCCCCAGCTCCTCCTCAACAGCTCTGAAAATCCACAGTATATTAAAATTCAGATAAGCTATAATTACAGTTATTAATTTACTAATTATCTTCTAATTCAATTAAAGTAATCTAATTTTTCTAGTAAAAATAGTTGTTCACGTTTAGTTGTCTAAATTTTGACCACTTAAATTAGCATATTTAATGACCTATCTAATAAAATACTTTGGTTCTAAACCCATAACAATCATCAGGTCCTTCCTTGCTAAAATATGATTTAATCAAAGTTATATACTCTTCAGTATAATAATTTATTATCTAATTATCAAGTAAGAAATTAAAATTCTCTGTAACTATCTTTAGGAATGTCTGATTTGAATACTAAAATTAATGCCTTCCTCTCAATTTCCAGCATTCACTGATTAAAAACATGAGAAAGGTATTAATTTTAGTATTTAGAAGATAGTTCCAGCTTTAAAATTAACAAAATTATCTAATTTGAATATAAAAGTCCAAATTTTTTCCTGTCTAATTTTAAAAATCACAAAATATAATTAAAAATTCATTATCTAAAAATTCAAAATTTATTATCTTTTTATTCTATTGAAATTTTATTGAACTGCAATTTGAAAATTTTAAAATTGCAGATCTATACATTCCCACAGTCACTGTTTGTCCTTTGTTAATCTTGAGAACAGAGTTAAATAAATGAAAATTGACACCAGAAATGAAAATCTTGATATAGTTAAAGGAATCCCTGGTCCCTATTAACTATACATAAACTTCAAGTCTGGACCAGAAGTCACATGGTTTTAATTCAAAATTTTCTCAATAACAGAATTATTTAGATGACTGGAATTATGCAATTGTTATCAGGAAAAGTATAATGTGCGGCCATGATGGTGCACATAGGTAAAGTTTGACCAAATCAAGATTAGTTATGGAAAACTTAGGGACCCTGATTAAATATATATGAAATTCCAGTCTGTACCAGAAATCACAATTTTTTAAAATTAAATGATGATTAAAAATTGCAGTCCAGCATTGTTATGTCACAATAAATAATTGCTTGTTTCTATTACATTTTATTTTGTTCTATTGACATAAATTTGATATAAAAAATATTTATGTAAATTATATAAATATTTAAGTTATTGCACTTATTATAAAATACTTTGTGTTTCTATAAATACAATATGGAGGAAAAAATCACAAAGTATACTTTACCATTGAAATTAAACTTTGAACAATAAACTTAACAGGATTTTTAGCATTTTTGATTACTTCAACAGCTTTGTTATGAGTAGCCTCTCTTAAATCATATCCATCAACCTAACAACAAATAATTTAGTTGATTAATTTTTATAGCATTAATTTGAATTATTGTAATATAATATAACAATAAGAACTTCAAAAACTTAATAAAACAATAAGATCTTATATTTTTATTTTAATATAGGATGGATAGGATATATAAAGAATTTCTTAATATGTAATCAAAATGAAAAAAATATATTTTTTAACAATTTCAACATATTTTCCTTTTTCTGATTAAAACACATACAAAAAAATAATTTAAATAAATTAAACTCATTAAAGTAATAAGCAATTTTATTTTCCCTTACAAAATATTCTTTGATATATATATTTGGTATCTGAAGATAATTGAGGAACTTGATTTACACCATTAGATAAAATTTATTATGTTAATTATATTATTTTCAATTTAATTATTTTTGTGTAACAGAGTAGTATATTCTCATGCATAAAACCTGTGTTTAGAAGATAATTTAAAAGAAGGTGTTGGTTATGCAATGGGGTAAATTATGTTCCAGTTTAAGTTAAAACCACAAACTTGTGCCTATGGAGCAAAGTCTGCTCCTGTAAGGCATGGGATACATGGTGTGAAGGTTTTATTTTTGTCCTTACACTTTCCTGTAGGTTATATGCATAAAACCTGCTAATCAGAAAATAAACTTAAGAAACTGCTTTTATTGAGTTCATTAATTTATAGTGAAATAAATTACTCAAATATTTTTGAGCAGTCAAGAAATTGATGCTCAATGTATATTAATAAATTTGTTAAGTTTATTAATTACAAAATTAAAACTAAACAAATTACTAGATTATTCATTGGGCTGTAACAATGATAGTTTTATGATTAGATATCTGGATTATTCATTGGACTGTAACAATGATAGTTTTATGATTAGATATAAAGAAATTTGGCTATAAATAAACAATTAGGCCAATATCTAATGTTAAATTTAATAATTAGAAAGTAATTAAATAGCTTGATAAATAATCAAGAAGTTTGTTTGGCATTAGTAATTTTAAATTCAATTGATGTATATGTTTTAAAAAACTAAAATTATATTTATTTGTAGTAATCAGGAAAATTGAACTAATGAATTATGAATATCAATTCTTCATAAATTTGCTATTGGAATTCTTTTTACTCAAATTAAGTTTAAATTATAAACTAAGAACTAGTTATTTTTCAGCAAACTGATTTTTAAATTTATCAAAATAATAAAATATGTATAATTTTTAATACATATGGATAAAATAATTTCAAATGTGTGATATAAAATTTCAAATAATACCTCAAGGATTCTATCTCCTCTTTTCAAACTCCCTGTAATTCCTGCAGGACTATCTGGTAAAACATTTTTAATAAATATACCAGATGTGGAAGGTCCAGAAGAAGGATAGGTATCAACCTTGCCCCAGACAATACTAATTCCTAAACCTCTAGTTGGTTCTCGCCATAATTCAACAGTTCTTTCTGGTCCCCATTGACGAGAAACATTTGATGTGAAAGTAGAAAATGATGAACTGGCAGTTATTTTTTCTGGAATGTTTAATGGAACAATTTTTTGCTTCTCAATTGATGATAACTTATTGGAAATTTGATCTATATTTAGAAAAGAAAGGAAAAAACTAATTAATAATATATATAATTTTCTTCATTAATATTGATTTGATATGGTCATTAATTGCAAATTTTTGAAATTAGATATAAGTAGAATCTTTTTTTATTCAAACATTAGGGAGAACAAAGAACTTGAGAGGTATAAAAAATATATAATATTTATTTTTGAAAGATATCTGCACGTTTCTAGTATTCAACAGTATTTCATATTTCTTAATGTAGAGGACGTGGTTGCTGTATCATCAAATGCTGTGTGTAGCGTCTTTGTAATCCAAAACGAGTTGGTAGACGAACGGACAGCAATTGGTTAGAAAACGTACGTTTTATTTAAAAATTCTTAATTCATATGCATTTCGGGTTGGCTTATATTCCCAACCCCTCTTCAGTGCTGTTAAGATTACACAAAAAAATTTAAGGTTAGTTTTACGATGTTGGCTAGTAGGAACATAACTAAAACGCGAGGTGATGATAACATAAAAATGCTTACTTGTCATATAATGGTACAGCATAGAAGTATTTTACAAAATTTTTCAAAATTTTTAATTACAAGTAGTATGGTGTAGCCTATGATATGAAAAAAGGTATAAGGGGACGGCTGTTTGACATATCATTTATATGAAGAACCGTATAACATAGAATATTAATTTAAAAAATATCAACACACACTTACATTTTGGTTAGAATGTATTATTTCCGATACAAAAGGAACATAGTACAAAAATTAACAACTGGTGTTATCCGTTGTTCGTCTAGTAATTGCTGTCCGTTCGTCTACCAACTCGTTTTGGATTACAAAGACGCTACACACAGCAGTATTTCATATTCTTTGGTGATATCATATTTTTTGTTTATTTTCTCAACTTCTTTAATTTCATTTAAAAAAATTTTTTTTAGCTAAGATAAAAATAAGTTTATGTATGTTTACCACTTAAACAAAATCACTTTTAAATAAGTAAGATAGAACTCTTTAAAGAACCTTCTAAAATAAAAACCCCAGTAAGTCCTCATCCATGTACAGACTAACGTTTTCAATCCCCCTCTGGATCTTTGTCAGGTCCACAGTTTTGGAATCAGAATGCTTTTAAATATCTTTGCAAATGTTGCACTTTTTAAAAAGTGTTCCATTTCCTGAATAAATTTACAGGTTTAAATTCTTTCAGTTAAATTGTTATCATAAAATAATAATCCATAATATGTACTATGAACAGCACATAAATTTCCACATGCACTTTGTATGGAGTATTTTTACATATAATAATTTATTTCTAAAAACCACAACTAATGCAAGTGTAACAAAATTATTCATAAAAATACTCTATGTGAAATGCATGTAGAAATTTATGTGCTGTTCATAGTCCATATAATAAATTATTATTTTATGATAATGATTTCATGGAAAGAATTTAAACTTGTAAATGTATTTGGGAAATGAAACACTTTTTAAAAAATGCAATGATATTTAAAATGCATCATTTATGAAAATATTCAACAGCATTCTGATTCTAAAACCATGGATCTGATGAAGATCCAGAAGGAAAATTGGAAACATTAGTCTGTAACAGATAAGAATTTACTGGAGTGTCTTAAGGAATTTTAGTACTGCCACTCCAGTCTGAAGGAATTGTGAAGTAAGTAAGATGTTTTCATCTTTAAAATAACTGTGTCTTAAGCTGAATTGTATACTTAGGTTATCATGAAAGGTTTCTGTTTTAATATTATGATAAATTTATATTAGAAAAAAGTATAACTATTACATAAATTATATTATGAACAAAATAAATAATAATAAAAATCTTCAACACAAGGAAGTAATGACTCCATGTTATACATCTATTTAGCAAATACCACATATCAAATATATCAGGTATGAATCATAGCATTGTAAATAGGAATGATGAGGACAAATTGTCTGAAGTATACTGTAGGTCAGCAATAATAAAGTAAGAGAATTCTAAAAATGTCAAATTATATTTTTACTGGACATGAATCTATGATTGAGAAAAAATGGAAGAAAAACAAAAAGAACAAATTTAATATTTTTAAAATTTTTCAAAAAGTGTTTGAAAATTGATTGTTCTATTAGAATGTTTTGAAAGTTAAAAAAAAAAGACTCCTTTATTTAAGGTTTGATGTGTTTTATTACATAGAAAAAATTATTTTGTAACAATACTAAAGATATTAAGTCATTTTTATGGGGTTTTTAGTTTTTATGAAAGAAGTTTTGATTACATTTTTAAATGCTGATCAATTTAAAATTCAATTGCAAATTTTCATTCATTTATACTTTAAAATTTTTAAATCAAAGAAATATAATTTAATTGACTGAAGAATAATGAATATAATTAAAATGAACTGAATAGATGTACTGTATATAGGCTGTTTTTTTTTTCTATGTACAGTACATCTATTCAGCGGAAGTTGCGCGGCACTAAATCGGGGCTATATATTGGGTGTTTAAAAAGTTTCAAGCTGGGTGGAAGTCTTCACACCTTTATTGTGTGAAGACTTCCACCTCTTTCCTGAACTGAAAATATGGCTAGAAGGGCAAAGGTTTGAGACTAACGACAATCTTCAAAACAATGTTAAGGCCCATCTCAAATCACTGGTAGCAGCATTCTATGAAGAAGGGATTGCAAAACTCATTCACAGATATGTCAAATGCCTCAATCTTCACGATGATTATGTTGAAAAGTAACCATGTTTGTACCTAACTTTTGATAATAAATTAATTTTGTCATTTACACTTGTCTTTGTTTTATGGACCATCGAAGGTTGAAAAAAACTGCCCTTGTATTTTCAGCATTCTTTAATTATTCTAAATCAATTTTTAAATATTGGCTATTAATGAATAATTTTATTATACACAGTAAGGATATTAAGATACTAAAGTATATAAATTTACCATATTTACTTCAATCTAAGATGCCATCAAATTAAGATCTACCTGAATTTCTACATGCTCACTCACATACTTTTTAATAGACAACTGGAAACAAATTTAGAATTGATTCTGTTGACATAAATTTATTCAGTATTTATTGCAAGTAAGTTATATATCATTGTCTTTGGTGATATTGAAGTTAGAAACATCTTCACTTTCCATGTCAAGCTCTTCTAAATCAACACTGCATTTGATGTTCCTTCTAAATCAACACATTTTCCCACTTTCTATCACCCATAATGCAGTTTAAAGCATCAAAAATATAACATTTCTTGAAAATAATGTTATACTCCTGAGTTTTAGTTTTAGTTGTTATACATGTGTAGTTTTAGTTTTGGTTTTAATGAACTAATTTACACTACTTGAAAGAGTGATGCACAACTTTTTCTGGACCACAGTACTACTGATCAACCTTTAAAATTCAGTAAAATATTTAACTCTCAAATGCTTTTCGTTGTCTTAATTGATCTTCTTCAGGATTGTTAATTACAATTTAAAAAGAAAGAAAGATTCCAGCTTTTAGCCTGTTGAATATTTGCTATTGCAAATTGGTCTATTAAAATCACTAAAATGATACATTGAAGTTAGTGACAGAGAAATAAGATGCATGGCACTAGAGACCACTAATTATGATGTATTACATTAAATCTAAGTAGCATCCTACTCTGAGATATATTAAAACGTGAAAAAAATGCATCTTCCATTTGAATAAGTAAGGTAATCACAGAATTTCTATTATCATTATTAAATTTATTTGATAAATTTTAGGGTACACTTACTATCTTCTTTTTTCCTTATAGGCTTAAAAGGCACTGGTGGTTTTGGACTTCTTAACTCAAGTGGTCTTTTATTTTCTGGAAAGTTTAGAATAGGAATTGTATAGCTTACTTCCTTTATTTTGTTTACAGTTTCGGTATCTTTATTGTAATCCAATTCTGTGTTATTAGTTTGAATAAATTCAGCTGGAGATGCTCTAGGTTTAATATCATCTACAAGTGAATTATCTTCATCTTCTAAAGGAGGTGGAGGAGAAGTTGGTGGACTATAAAATATATTTCATTTATTAAAATTAATAAAAACTTTTATAATTAAGTTATTTTAAAATATGTTTACAATGTATCCTATTTTAAAATTATTTTATTTTATGAGATAATTAACATCATAATTTTTTAAACTTTTAGTATTCTTCAGGGCTGTGGAGTCGCATAAAAATCTACCGACTCCAACTTTTCCTTACCATCCGACTCCAACTCCGACCAGGGGTGGACTTGTTACCGAAAGAGACCCGTAAATTCTAATGTCATCACATGACCTCAGAATAAAAGATTCAATAAATAGAGTTCTAATAAAGATAGAACATAGAAACTTTTTATTCCAAAGCTAAAAGACTCCTCTAAGTAATATATAAATATGTATTTGATAATTTTTACTTTCCCGGCTGTTATATATAACAGAAGGAAAGTGTAGCGCTCAGTCAAAAAATGACCCTTTCCAAATTTTTACATTTTTGGAGTCAGGACACCTTGAAATTTCGAGATATGCAAAAGATTTGAGGTTTTTTTCTATATGTGTGGATGTTAGACTGTGTGGGGCACGATTTTTTTCACTCTGTTTGAAGCCTAATAATTTCTTTGGTGAGAGTGGTTGGAATCGGAGTCAGATGGTTTAATACAGGAGTTAATTATTAAGCGTCAAAGTGGTTGAACTAAATCATGTCCCCATATACATTCTAACATCTTAGGCGATAACATCTTAACAGATTTTACTGTACTATTATAAAATGACAAAAAGTTTACTTTGAGGGTAGAGACAGGTATTATTATTATTTTTTCTTTCATTTTGAACGCTAATAACGAGTAAAGTATTCATTAAGAGATATGACACATGACCACTTTTATGTCTTCACTCTGTCGACCTTTAATTAAGAACCAAAATTGAATAGTATTAATGCCCCTTTATACGCAAGCCACAGTGCTACATTTTGTTTCTTAAACTTTACGCATTCTGAGATATTGTTTAATATCTCAGAACAGAAAATAAAGAAGTTAAACAAACTAGATGCCAACATGCCAACAACGCAAGAAAATTTTTCCCGATTTTTTATTGATTTTCTGAGGGGTTTGAGAGGTCTTCAAATGTGTAGATTTGCAAAAAATACCTGGAGGGTCAAATTTGACACAATTCCAATACTTTTCCGTTTTATATACATAAGTTGGGAAGTAAAAAGGATTCGGAGTTGGCGGATTTTTTGACAACTCCGACTCCAGCTAAAATACCAAAATTCCATGACTCCGACTCCACAGCCCTGGTATTCTTCATTCAGTTTTAAATATGATAATATTTTACATTTTTATTAAATGTTGCAGAATTTAAAATTGAATAAAGAAATGTCAAAAGTTAATAAAACTTTATCTAAATGCATTTAATTTTGTAATTATGTAACTTATAATTGAAAAATCTGAATATATTTTATAAATAAACAATTATTATTTCATACTTCCTCCTTAACTTTTTTTGCATTTATAACTCTGCTGAGGAGATATATCTGAGTGTGCAGTGTTTTCTTAATAAAGATTTCTTTATCTAGATTCTTCTTTTTTAAATTCAAATTGTTTTTTTCTTTTAAGAAATCAGACTTCTAAAATAATCTCATGTGGGATGCACAAGGGGCCTAAGAGGCCCCTTGTGTCATCCCATCTTAGGTTAAGATAATTCAAACTTTTGCACCAACTTATACAATCTCAATTCATGATTATTTCACATAGTTAAAAACATTTTTCTTATTGAATATTATAAATTTGAATTATTTTTATTTAAACCTAATCAATTTTATTTAATTTGTTTGTTACTGAATTAATTAAATTTAACTAAAAGTAAGAAACTATTAAGTAATTTTCTCCATAAAATAGAATTATTAATATAGTATATCTCATTTAAATTAATATCATTTTTAAAATATTCAACTACAAGTGCACAAATGAAAAAGAATAAAACATATTCTATATGTACTGTACAATGAAGCTATTATTTTGATAAAAACTTATGTAATTAGCTTTATGTTAAATTATTTTCAGAATTTAATCATTTCAAAAAGCAGTTAATGTGAAATCAGCATAAACATTGTAGTAATTAATATGAACATAATCCNAAGACAAAATATGATTGATTGATATGAGAAGATGTTCAAGATGACTGCTTTCATTTTTTTTATCAATTTCTCATATCAATCAATCATATTTTGTCTTACTTTTTTGTATCAATTTCTGCAAAGTTATCTTTAACCTTTACAGTCAGAGATTATTTGTATGTTATGCTAAATCATCTTAAATTGATTCCCTTCAATTTAAGATGATTTCAGTCATCTTGAACATGTTCTAAATAAGAACATGTTCAAGATGACTGCTTTCATTTCTAACACAAAGAGGTAAACAGTTGAGCATAGCATTCCTGGTGTTAGCATTCCACAGGCCTCTTGTATGTCTCTAACCAGTTTCCCAACATCATGCATTGCTGATGAGTACATATCATATATACATTGATGCTTTTAATTGACCTCACAGGAAAAAATCCAGATGCATCAAGTCTGAGAAATGTGATGGCCATGGAACAGGACCATGTTGTCCTAACAGTTCCAAACTGCTCTGCAAGCCATCGATGCACATATGTCTGGTAATGAGATGACACATCATTGTGCTGGTACCAAATCTGCCATAGTTGTTTGCCATAGCCTTTCTTCCATTGTCATGTTTAGATATCAGTCACTATTCAGGCCACAAATGAATACTGCACTAAGAAGCTGCTCATCCCAAATTCGACAGTAGACATTTAGAATAAAACAGGTGTGATCAACAAGCTCATCATTATCATTTTTGGTCAATTGCAGTGTGATTTTAATAGAAATCAACTTTCTAAAACCTGACAGTTATATATCATTTAGATCATTTTGCTTTAATCATTTTAGGAAATCATTTGGATTTAGTAATTTTAACAGGAATATTAAATCCATATTTTTCATAGAGAAACTTTTAATTATATGCTATGGAAGTGGTAATGCTCTATAAGATAACATGCATACAAAGAACTCTTTGTGTTGAAGGTCATTGCTAGGATATTACTATGTTGGGTTTAGTGGGTTATACTTGGTACACACCGGTGGCTGTATACTATGCCGGACCACAGTTAAGGCATAGCAACGAAAAAAAAAATTAAAATTAAATGTGTGTGTCAGTATTCAGGAATCAGTGTCAGTAATTAGGAATTTCTTAACAATATGGCATTTATTCAATATAGTGGTCTTCTGTAGTGTGATGTATGTATTTCTATTCAATTTTAATGTTCCCAGGCTTTTGTGTAGCATCACACCATTAGTAAATATAAGTACTTATATTCAATTAATAAAATTATAAAAATTAAATGAAACAAAGAAACCAATTACACTTACATCAGAAAGGCTAACTGAAAGAATTACTCAGCCTTCTATGTTTAAAATAAAATTTTAACAACATTACACAAACAAGCAAGCACTTTTGATAAGAAAATTGTCTTCAGATGTAAATTTTTGAAATTAGAGTGGTTTTCTTGGACAGTTAAGTAGCTGAGTTCAAACACAATAGCATTTGAAGAAACATACAATAAAGAATATATATGAAAATGTACAATTAAGATTTAAATTCAAACAATCAGCAGTTGTGACAAAACAGAGTATAGAGATGTGAAAATTAAATACAAAATAGACAATCATAAAAACTAAAAATAATAAAATAAAAATTATCCATATAATAGCAGTTTAATGTTAAACCAATGTATTTATAATAGGTACATGATTTTAATATGCACACCATGAAAGACCAATAACTATGTCAAATGTTCTGGAACACTTTGAGATGATGATAAATGTTCACTTAAGTCAATGTTAAAGAAAATAAAAGTTTAATGAACTTTAATGTTTATTAAACTACCATTTCCTGATGATGCTATTTATGAGGAACTTGATTCAGAGGAAAAAAACAATACTTAGTCCTTAACAAGACATTCTCTGGAAAAGAGTCATTGATACTAAATGAGTATTTAACATTAAAAGAAATGAATCAGGAGATATTGACTTAAACAAAACAACACTTGTTATAAGAGAATACTCTCAATGAAAAGGTTTCGACTATGATGAAGTAAATATGGAGTTTACTTAAACATCTATCCAGGGACAAGAGAGATCTTTACAGCAGTGCATGAATTTGTGCATATTGTGAGGCCCTGGAAATATGTCAAAAAAAAGGGAAAATGTAAAATTTATTAAGTTAAACCAACGAGAAAATAAGTTATATAAGTGTTGTGTCAGTGATACCAGACTTTGACATTGTCACTCAAAAACAATAGAAGGAAAAACAAAATTTATAGAATAAAAGGAAATTTAAAGGGGAATTATTTAAAACTTAAGACACATTTAGGTAAAACAAAACAAAAATGTAAAAATGAGCATTGGTGTCTTAGTCATCAATAAAGTGTGATCAGAGTCGAGAAGATGCTGTCAAATAAACCATCACGGACAGACCTTTCTCGCGACCTAAACTGGTCTTAATTTTCACCTAGAGACTAGTAAGAGATCAATAAGGGAACAGGGAAGGGAAAGCCCAACCAATTAGTAATGAAACAATCCCAAAAAACTTATAAAACCTCTGCTGTCAAGGACAACATGCCTTCCTCTGGAGAATACCCCTTTTTGGCCATCACACTCTTCTCTCCATGCTTCCACTACTGAGTGCCCTACCCTCCAATATCCAGTCCATCTTTTCTTCTCCGGGGCTAACTCAAACTTGCTAATACTCCAGGGCTCCACCACTGTAAGATGAAAAGAAAACATCTAGAGACTTCCAGTCGATGGGACAGCGAAGTCAGGGACCTTGTCAATCATTTGTAGGCATGATCTCAAAAAATAAACGGTTTCTTTGTAAAAAAATTTGTCTTTTTCTGCCTCCAAAACCCAATCCCAAAATGCAAAGACCTTAGACTATCCCAATGAAAAGGGGGAAAAAAATAATCCC